AAAAATACAATAATTTATTTTCAAAAAACACAGTGAGTTAAAAAGATCAATTACAATTTTTTTTTTCTTTTCAAAATACAATATAATCATCATCAATAATAGGTGTTTTATGTGAACCTAATGAATACAATACATTTTTTTTTTCAAAAAACACAGTGAGTTAAAAAAATTAATTACAATTTTTTTTTTCAAAATACAATCTAATCATTATCAATAATTGGGACTTTATGTGAACTTAATGAATACAATCTATTTTTTTTTCCCCAAAAAAACACAGTAAGTCAAAAATCAAAAAATAAATTAACTCAATTGATAGTTAAAAAGCACAAATAATTTTAAAAAAAAAAACCACAGTGAGTTAAAAAAATCAATCACAATTTTTTTTTTCTCTTCAAAATTCAATCTAATCATCATCAATAATGGGTAGATTGTGTGAATCTAATGACACAATCCATTTTTTTTTTCAAAAAAACACAGCGGGTTAAAAATCAAATCACAAATTAAGTCAATTGATAGTTAAAAAACACAATAATTAAAAAAAAAAACACACACACACAATGAGTTAAAAAATAAAATCATAATTTTTTTTGCTAGTACAAATCACAAATTTTTTTTGGCCCGGTGTAGATATGCTGAACACTTGGAATAAGTTTGGTTGTTTTACAGTTATTATGTTATCTTTGTGACTGTTCATGTTTATCTAACTATAATCACATTTTTTTCATAATAAAAAAAATAAATGAAAAAAAGAACTATTGAACTAACTACAATACAATCATATTAAAAAAAAAGAACTATTGAACTAACTACAATCTCATTAAAAAAAAAGAACCATTGAACTAACTAGAATCACATTTTCTCTTTGTGATTGTTCATGTCTATCTAATTACAATCCCATTAAAAAATCGAACTATAAATTTTATTTTGCTAGACAAAATACAAATCACAAAAAAAATTTTGGGTGTAGATATGCCGAACACTTGGAAAGAATAGTTGAGTATTTGGATTTAAGTTGGATTGTTTTACAGTTATTATGTTATCTTTGTGATTGTTCATGTTTATCTAATTACAATCATATTTTTCTCATAATAAAAAAGAAAAAGAAAAAGAAAAAAAGAACCATTGAAAAATAAATGAAAAGATTGCTTACAGGTTTTGAAACTTTATTTTTATCTTGGTTTGTCCTTCTAGTATAAAAAATAAGTGAAGAATTATGTGTTATAGATAGATAGATGTGTTGCCGGTACAAGTGGAAAAGGCTGCAATAAGTATTGGAGAAGTTGAAAGTGAAGAATTATGTGGTAGAAATGAAAATGGTTGTAATAGGTATGAGAGAGGTTGAAAATGGTGTGTATGGGAGAAGTCAAAAAGGCTTGGGAGAAGTCAACAAGTGTTGAAGTTTTTTATTTTTTTTCTAAATTAAAAAATTAAGAAATTAAGATTGAGATATTTGAACTCTCACAAAGCTTGTAGATTAGAAATCCCATTTTTCTTATATAATATATAGATAGATGACAATTTTTTTATTAACTTATTTTTGTTTTTAATAATTATTTAAAAACAATCAAAAAATTTTAAACTTTCACGTTTGTTTGGCTGCATAAGATGGAGAGAATTAAGAGTACAATGAGATTGAGTAAGGAAATTATTCACTGTGTTTGATTCTAATTTTTTGAAAATACTTTTCAAAAATTTCTACTTTCTTGTTTTTTGTATTTTTTATTTTTACTAAATTTTTTTAATATTTTAAGCATTTTTATTAGTTTTTAGACGCACCTAATATAAATACACTTAAAAAGTACAATTTTCGTGAAAAAAACTTTAAAAAAATTCACTAATACCAAAAAATAAAAATAAAAAAAATTGAAAACTCAGTATATTTTTCATATTTTTGTGTGTTTATTAATTTTTTTAAATATGTTTTCATAAATATTTTACTTTTTAGATACATCTAAGTAAGGTGCATCTAAAAAGTTTAAAAAATACTTAAAATTTTAAAAGTATTCACTAAAAACAAAAAAAAACACGAAAAACAAAAAACTCAATTTTCAGAAAACTGAATTTAGAAAACTAAAACCAAACACACTAATTAGTATGACAATATTAGATTAGAGATGTGAGATAAATAGTGTTTGTTTGTACTCTACTAGATTAGTAATACTATAAATAGTAGTAATATACAAAATTAATATTTTTTTTATTTTTACTATTTTTTTATTATTATAATTTTTTTTTGGTTCCGAAAATATAAACTTGTACTTAAAAATTATTTAAAAATTTACTAATTTATTCAATTTCTAATCACAACCTCTCCAAGGGATTGATAGTCCTTACAATGGGAGGATAACTAGTCCAAGAGGATAGATCCTTTCACTCATGTCCTTAACCAAATACTCTTTGAGTGGATCCCATGGACTATTAGTCCAATTCCCTTTTTAAAGAGTCAAACAAATATGATCCTAAATTTTACTCAACAAGAGAAATTAGAAAATTAAATTATTTTAAAAAAGTCAAAAAAAAATATATACAAAAAAATGATGAACTTTTTGGGATTATTTTGACTTTCAATTTTTTTTTAACAGAATTTTTCAAAATTATGTACTTTTTAAATTTGTCTATACAAAATGGATCGAAAAAAATAAAAAAATTGACATAATTTAAAAACAAGTCACTAAAAATAAGAAAGTTAAAAAAAAATTTAAAATTTCCCAAACAGCCACAAAGTGGCATAATTTAGACTCAATGTAAGATCAACAATGATTCATCCTCCCTTTTCCCCTCACCCCCTTTGACCCCCTCTCTTTCTCATTGGTTACATTTTCTTTTTCTTTTTCTTTTTTTTCCTGCTCCTCCAATCACCACCCGCCACGTGGTAAAGGGGGGGTGAGGGGGTGACCCCCAAAAGGGGGTCCCAAACATTATTCATGTAAGATTTACATTTTAACGTGACATAATTTAGACTCAACACTTTCATGCGCATTTTTATTCATCGGTTGTTATTAATATTTTCGATGATAAAAGACCTCACAAACTCTAATAAATTTTTTAAAAAGTTTCTTATAAAAATAATAATAGATTATATTCCATTAATCCCTATTAATTGCGATAGTTGGCCATGACTAAGAGTGTGACAAATGCCCACTAATTTCGTCCTAAAATGCTTATGGAATCCCGAAACGTTTTAAACACATAAAATGTGAGACTCTGGTTTCTATATAAACTCTCACAGAACCCAACCCAACCCAACATTGATCATGCACTTTTAGTTCTTCATTTTTAATGGCACATGTAATTAATATGCATTATATTATTAATTTAGAATGAAGAATCAGTAGTTGAAAAATAATTAGATCAACAAAAGTCAAAACATGAAATGATCGGCATAAGTCAAACAAGAAGTCAACTTAAGAATATAAATGTAATTTTTGAACGAGCTCAGAATTCTTCATATTTGATAGTCTTATTAAAAACAAGTTTTTGTGAATTCAAGATTCTTCATTTATTAGAATTATGTGATAAATTCACAGCGTCAGCTAGTTTCATTTTTTGAAATAAAAATAAAACAGATTTTGAAATTTTAACAGCTGAGGTGACAAAATCATTTTGATGTTTGTTTTCTTTTATTTACTCGTATTTTAATGCTGTGTTTGGTTGGGGGATTTGGGAAGGAATTTGGAAAGGGAAAGGGAAAAGGTGTGTGAAACTATGTGAAATATAAGCATGTTTTATTCACATTTCACCTACTTTTTTCATTTTCCTTTCCAAATCCCTTCCAAATCCCCCAACCAAACACAACATAAGTGGATTTTGAATCTTTGGGTGGTTTTAGCAAATTATACTTGCTAACTGATTGAAATTCTACATTTTGGAATGGGATCTTATTGGAGCTTGTAAATTTCTAAGGAATGTGAGGGCTCATTTCTTCTCCTTCTTCATCTTGAGCATTGAAGCGCCCAATCATCATCCAACAACTGGCTCAAGGTATTTACCATTTATGTGATTTGCAGAGTTCATCATAACATCACAACCGTTTATTTCATCCATCTACTAGAGCAGAAATTCACCTCAACAACAGTCATTATTAGATTTTCTTGAAATGATGAAATTCAAGAATTTTAAAAGTAATTATCAAATGCCTATTAAGATCCATCCAAGAATTTCTTCTCCTGTTTTTGTTTTTTTTATAGAACCAAATGGAGGTTGGGGAATTGATTCCATGGGCCAATGAACTGATCAATCATATTATAGCAAATTGGCTGTTGGTTTCAATTTCTCATTCCAAAGATTTTTGCAAGGAGAGAGAGAGAGAGAGAGAGAGAGAGAGAGAGAGAGTAATGGAAGGACAATTATCAAGGACATAATCAATTCAAAGGAGTGAAGGAATCTCTATGTGAAAGGAGATGCCCACATATATATTTCATTCTTGTAGTGTTGTCTTTTGGGTTACAAAGAATTTTATTGTGCTTTCTCCAAAAAGTAAACTTACAATTGTTTTTTCTCTCCCATTTAATATCACATACAGTCAATCAAAATATCATATTTAAGTACTCTTATATTTTAATTTATTTAACATTAGAAGATAAGTGACTAATAGTAATTGATAAAAAAAAAAAGTGGCTAATAATAGACATATTTCGTGATAAACATTAAGAAATGAAACAGTTTTAGAATAGCCTTCATTCTTTCTTTTCATTTATTTCTGATGTGGTATTCTATACGTTTCTATAAAACTACTTAAAGTCTCACTAAATTGAAAATCTGATAAAATCGAACAGTAAAATAAAAATGGGAGAGGATAAGGGAAGAGTAACATGGCAATTTGGAGTAAAAAAGAGAATATATTCGTGTTTGGAATCATCTTATCTGTTAATAGGAAGGAAGGAAGAAAGGTATATCACTATGATCACCCCCCAACCAAACCCATCTTCATATTACTTAGGCTCACTCTCTCAATATCAAGAAGAAGTTTTTGTTCCATTTTCGTGATCAATTTTGCAAGTGTTAAATTTCTCTGTTATTTTTTTTTATATTTTATTTTTAAAAAAACTTTCATGTTGGGTATATGTTATATGTATCTTTTCTTGGTGTTTTCTTCTATGAATTTTTTTTCTCATTTAATTGGTGGAATTGTTGTCTGATTCAGGGATGGAGATACCGATTTTGTGTGGCCTAGGACATCCAATCCCATCTCCTAGAGATGTTAAAACATTCCGGTATGCAAAAAAAAAAAAATTTTTTTCACTTTCATTCCTGTCTTCATTTATGGCATTTCGAGGCCTATCCTCAAATAATAATCGTTTTTTGGTCCGTTTTATTGTAGAGTTTATGTAGCAACATGGAATGTTGGGGGAAAACCTCCTCCAAATAGCCTTAATCTTGATGATTTTCTTCAGGTCGATGACCAATCTGATATATATGTTTTGGGGTATGTTTGTTTTCTCTTTAATCACTACAATGAAAAATCATTTTTACCGACAGAATTATTTGTCATAAAATACTTTCTTTGACGAGCAAAACACGTTGCCAATTAGTGTTTGCAAAGAATATTGGCAACGGACTTTGAAGTCATTGAGGAATGTAATAATCATGATGGGGATTTGTTGTTGCTAAATATGGATATGTTATGGGCTTACTATGATGAACTCATGTTGTTGCTAGTAAGGAAAAAATTGTCTCTAATAAGGAAAAACTCGTCGACGACTTTGATATGTTGTCAAAGAATACTATTTTTTAATGACGAATTTTATTGTATGTCACAAAACATTATGTAATTGGAGAATACTAACTTTTGATGATGAATTTTGTTGCATGTTGCAAAATATTGTTGCCAAAACTGTTATTGTTATCATAGGTTTGGTTACTTTTGTTTCTTATTTGAATTCACATTAAAAAATAATGTGTAATAGACATTGATTACACATCCATTGACTTGTTTTTCATACTTAAGCTGTGTTTGGATCTAGAATTGTAAATTGATATCTATTTTTTTTTAATTAGATTTCAAGAGATTGTACCTTTAAATGCTGGGAATGTGTTAGTGATGGAAGACCCGCGTACACTTAATTAAAATGGCTCTCTTTGATCAGCCAGTCCTTGAACAAATCTCCAAATCTCACCATAGTCAGTGGCGCTCAGGACTCGCTCTCCTTCCAAAGGGCTTCTTCTCTCAAAAAAGCTAGAAAAAATTTTCAAGTGGAAAACACGAGGCGGCTCAAGAGTTGTAATTGCTACACTATTTCTAAATTGGAAAGCAATAAGGACAAGACTAAGGATTCATGTTTCAATTGCCAACAATCAAATAATTTTAGTGAAGACAATGACCTCTATGATGAAGTGGATATTTCTGAATTCACCACTCCCTCTAGCTTCAATGCAAACACGATGAAGTATTGCCTCATAGCAAGCAAGCAAATGGTGGGAATCTTTGTTACTATTTGGGTTAGGATGGAGTTGGTGCACCGTGTAGGCCATTTGAGAATTTCTTGCATTAGTCGCGGTATCATGGGTTGCCTCGGAAACAAGGTGAGATTATATGGCTCTTAATCTACCTATTCATTACACTTTTTTGTAAATTAAAAGTGAACAATCAGAAGGATAAACAATTTTTACCTAGTTTTTTAATAGTCAATGTTTTTCATTTTAAATTAGTTATTTTAAGCACTTTTTGTGGCCAAACAATGATTTTGTCCCCTAATGCACTCTTTTGGCAACCAAATATGGAATTGGTCGCAAATGGTTTAAAATTTTCATGACCATACACATGTTCGTTGTGGAATCTTAGGTTTTCGTTATGATTTTTAAAATTTTGTTGTAGAATGTGTCAGATGGAGAATCAAAAATTAAGCTTTGTAAGTAGAAATTACACCAAATACATTAACGCAAATTTCAAAAAAGAAAAAGTTAAAAGCTACACTAAATATAATCGTTGTATATTCAATATTCACTTTGGTTCAACTTTTCATAAACTAAAAATTGATAATTAGAAACTATAAATATCATTTTCCCAATATTTCAATAGTTAACTTTTTTTTAACTTGTTTAAGTTATTTTTACCTCTTCATAAACGATAAGCAAAAGATATTAGCATATTATATAAGATGAGCTACACCAAACATGATCGCTTTACATTTAAGATTTATATAATTTACAAGATAAAACATAGGAAATGTTTATATATCTATTTTATATTACATAAAACACACGACTCATTTGACGAAACTATGTCACACATTTTCTATACCCAAATTACCCCTATATAATTGCCCAAAATTGTTATTTCAAATTTTGATTTCTTCATCTATATATATATATATATATTCTAATGAAGATTATAACCGTCTTTCATTTCTGCATACACATCGTGTTTGCGCATAGCATTCTAATATATATATATATATATGTATGTATATGTGATTTGTTGTTGGTTATGTTTCAGGGGTGCATCTCAGTGAGCATGTCAATCCACCAGACAAGCTTTTGTTTTGTGTGCAGTCACTTGGCTTCAGGAGAGAAAGAAGGGGATGAGCATAGAAGAAATTTGGATGTTATTGAGATTCTTAAAAACACCCACTTTCCCAACATCTGCAAAAAAACTAATAATACTAGGATGCCTCACAAAATTATGCAACATGAGTGAGAGAGCATATCTCTAAATCTTTACAAATAAAAAAAGACAATAAACTATTAAGATTGTGTTTAAATCAAAAATTTGATGAGAAATTTATGAAAACAAAGAGAATAAAGGAAAGGAAAAGTGAACATGCTACTATAAGGTAAATTTTTTACTCACTTTTCCTTGCTATTCTTTTCTCTCTACAAATCGTTTCTCAAATTTTAGATCTAAATGGAGTCTTAAGAGTTTTTTTTTTTTTTTTTTTTTTTTTTTTTTTTTTTTCGTCAGCCAACTTATAAGTTGATTCATTTTTTTAACTTATTTTTGTTTTAGAGAACCTTTTTTAGTTGAAATTGTTATTTTTAGGTTCAATTTGACTAGACAATCCTAGAAATTTAAATTTAAATTTATTTGAAAAAAATTGCAAAAATAAGTCAACTCGACAAAATTGACTTATTTTCATCTTTTGTAGACTTTTTTTCCTTCAATTTTTTCATTAAAAAAAAAAAAAAAACTTGGTGACAATCATCCAGTTTAAGTGGATCTAAAAAATTTAAAAATTTAAAACTTAACTAAATACAAACAAATCTAAAAAACAAACCAACTTATAAATTGCAGCCAGGGAATACTTTTCAAATTATATATATATGAATTTCTACATAATGTATCAATCCCTTATGAATATATATATATATATATATTCTAATGAAGATTATAACCGTCTTTCATTTCTGCATACACATCGTGTTTGCGCATAGCATTCTAATATATATATATATATATATGCATATGTGATTTGTTGTTGGTTATGTTTCAGGGGTGCATCTCAGTGAGCATGTCAATCCACCAGACAAGCTTTTGTTTTGTGTGCAGTCACTTGGCTTCAGGAGAGAAAGAAGGGGATGAGCATAGAAGAAATTTGGATGTTATTGAGATTCTTAAAAACACCCACTTTCCCAACATCTGCAAAAAAACTAATAATACTAGGATGCCTCACAAAATTATGCAACATGAGTGAGAGAGCATATCTCTAAATCTTTACAAATAAAAAAAGATAATAAACTATTAAGATTGTGTTTAAATCAAAAATTTGATGAGACATTTATGAAAACAAAGAGAATAAAGGAAAGGAAAAGTGAACATACTACTATAAGGTAAATTTTTTACTCACTTTTCCTTGCTATTCTTTTCTCTCTACAAATCGTTTCCCAAATTTTAGATCTAAATGAAGTCTTAAGAGTTTTTTTTTTTTCTTTTTTTTTTTTCCACATTCTTTGGCGTCAGCCAACTTATAAGTTGATTCATTTTTTTAACTTATTTTTGTTTTAGAGAACCTTTTTTAGTTGAAATTGTTATTTTTAGGTTCAATTTGACTAGACAATCCTAGAAATTTAAATTTAAATTTATTTGAAAAAAATTGCAAAAATAAGTCAACTCGACAAAATTGACTTATTTTCATCTTTTGTAGACTTTTTTTCCTTCAATTTTTTCATTAAAAAAAAAAAAAAAAACTTGGTGACAATCATCCAGTTTAAGTGGATCTAAAAAATTTAAAAATTTAAAACTTAACTAAAGACAAACAAATCTTAAAAACAAACCAACTTATAAATTGCAGCCAGGGAATACTTTTGAAATTTTATATATATGAATTTCTACATAATGTATCAATCCCTTATGAAAAAAAATGGTTGCAGCCGAGTGATATGGTTGGGGGATTTAAACTACCGGATTGCTTTGAGCTCCTCTGAGACCAGAAAACTTGTACAAGATAACAACTGGGATGAACTTCTTAATAAGGATCAGGTATCAAAATCAAAGTTAATTTTTTTTATTTTTTATTTATTTTTTTTATAAATCCCGATAAGAGCAGTGTCTAGAACAATACCGGCCTTTTTATAATTTGATTGTTGTTGTTTTTTGGTGATATATAGCTGAAGATAGAAAGGGAAAGTGGGAGAGTATTCAAAGGATGGAAAGAAGGGAAGATATACTTTGCACCTACATATAAATATTTCTACAATTCAGACACTTACACTAGTGAGATTGTCAAATCAAAGACCAAAATGAGAACTCCAGCATGGTATGTATGTTTATATATATAGCTACGGACACATAATTCAACCACAGAAAATGGGTATTTTTTCGGTGCACGAATTCTGTGTCTATAGACTCATCAGCATGAAATTTTGAAAACTTGTATATCCTACTCATGTAAATTTGACAATAAAAAAGAAAAGAAAAGAAAAACTGGAAGCCGCATATGTAGGTAGGTATATATGAGAGAGTGAGTAGCTAACTGAAATCCATACGCGCAGGTGTGATAGAATACTGTGGCATGGAAATGGGATACGACAACTGAGTTACGTGCGTCGGGAGTCGCAATTTTCCGACCACCGGCCCGTCTGTGCTACATTTTTAGTGGATGTTAATGTTATTGAAGGTGGAGGATGAAATGATTAAAGAAGCAAACTTGTGGCTACAATGTGTAACGTTGGAATTGAACAATCTCCTACTACTAGCCACCACCCACCAGCAGCAGCTAGCAATTGTTTCTTGGTTATGATAGCATCTTTATTCCTATCAATGCATCTATGCATATGTTGGTTATGCTGTACAAGGTACTCTAGTGTCATATGTTGCAGGATTAGCCTAACAATAGTTGTTTATAATGATGTAAATACAGGGGTATTATTCTACAATCATATAGGGATTACGATATCTCTAATGCATTTCATCCAATCATTTCAACCATCATACAAGTGCGTTTCAATTTCAAGCTGAATCTTATAAACATAGAGATGACAAACATATGGCTTTATGCAAAGATCTTGAGTGGTCAAATTCATAAAAGGTCCCATTCCTTTCTTCAGAATGAGGGAAAAACAAAACAAAACAAAAAAAATCATCTAACCATATAAGGAATCTGGTATATGCTTTCTCCTCTCAAATTAAATTACATAAGAGAGGACAGTAGGAAAAAGAAAAGAAAAAAGACTGGTAACATACAAAATTGAACTAGAACCAGTGAATATTCACGGAATTAGACCAAACATAAAAAACATAAATGTTGTTAATACCGATCTGTTTGCAAGAAAAAAAAAAATGATCCCAGCAGAGATGCTAGCTTGTGAAATTGTTACCTGTGCATGCTTACCAAATCAATCTTGATTTGAGCAGTCTTCTTCACCTGTATTCATCATTTTTTCATCATGCCACTTGCTGAATTGTAACAGAGCATTCCTCATCCATGCATGCCTGCAGTTCTTGGCTGCTTCAGATATGGTTAGCCATTTTCTACTTCGGGTGCTCTGCTCCGGCCATGACTCAAGCTCCTCCTTCACAAGCAAAGCAAACATCGAAGCTCTACATAGACCTTCTGGACTAAACTCATCTTGGTGTGTTTTGCTCCTGAAGTCAAATTCTCCCAGGAACCCCTGCAACAGTCAAATAATCAAATGGTTGTTTATCTAGAAATAGAAATTTTTAGGATCATGAGGGGTAGGGGTGTGCATGAATCCGACTAAACCGATTAATCCGACCAGACCAACCGAGTCGTGAGACTTATGGACGGTTTCGATCATAGTTACGGTCGGCAGTGAATTTGAAAAGTCAATCCGTTCAAATTATAGTTCGAGTAACAGTTTAAATGTTATTGAAACTGATTTCCACCGACCGACCAAATGGTGCTTATCAAGAAACTTATTCCTCCATGTGGCATCATATCACTAAGTATAGTCACCGACAATCTCTATCTCATTCATTATTTGATTTGAGAGACTTGACTTTTCAATTTTAACTCTCTGTCCTCTGTTTTCATCTTCTTCCATCGTTTTTTTTCTCTGCAACTACCCTCACCATTTTTCCCTCATCGTTTTTCCTCCCCCTCAACTAACCACGTGATGTTCTTGCCCCAAACTGATCACCTTCAGGAATTATTGCCAAACTTGTCATCGTCGGAACTTGTCACCAAACTAGGACTATGAATAAAGAGCAATATTATTTTGGTACATCTCTCATATTTGTGTTCTTCAAGTATGGTGGCATTGAATATGGGTTTTTTTTGGGGACATCTCTCACAGATCTGTATTTTTCTAATGAGACATTGAAATTTTTTTTTTTTTTTTTTCAGATACATCTCTTACAGATCTATTTTTATATATGTATATATCTCATTCCTTGCTTCATAATATTGTTTTGTACATCTTTGGAATTCTTGTTTCAGATCTGTGCTCATAGAAGTAGATGCATTTTTCTCAAATTTTCATCCACTTCTACTTTTGCGGTTCAACATACATCCGATTGACACCGACCGTCAAACCGAAAGGTTTGACTCGGTCGATTTCGAAGGAGAGATCGGTCGATAATGGGTAGGAAAGCTTTCAACCCGAAATGTTTGGCTCGGTTGATGGGTCAAGGGTAAACCCGACCCGTGAGGGGTAAAATAGGAGTCTTGGTCAAAAAAATGATGACATCATTTTTCGTAAAACGATTCACGATATAATTCACTATTTTAGCAAAAAAATTAAGAATTTGACAACCTACGTTACATATAAATCTCAGAGAAATAAAAGAAAAATAACTCAAACTTGTTCTAATACTACATATTTACATAATATTTATTCATACGTAATAAAGACAATTTATAATTGACGTCAATCGTCAATAAAAATTCATATTTTAACACATGCATCACAATTAAGTAGGAAAAATGTAATTGTTAGAATATATTTATTATTTAATATATATAATATATACATGCTCTCAACCTTAGAAACCTCTATATGCCCTTGCTCTCCTGCCCCTGCTTTGTGCAACTAAGGGTTAGACCCATCAAACCTCAAATTTAAGGGTACGAGGACTTGACAAAAAAAGATTATATTTTTACATGTTTAACCTATTATGTTAGAAAAAATGGTGTCACATGTAACATATTTTAGTCATTTCATAGTAATTATACAATAATATATTCATATAAATTAAAATGATAGTGTTAAGTGTACGATAAAAATTATCAAACATATATCCCACACCCTTGTCCAAGTGTTGGGTCTCCGAAAGGGGTATTTGAAATGTTTTGAAGAGTCCATAAAACATAGTTGATAACAATGCCCCCAAAGTCCAACCAAAATCAAGAAAAAGATGAATTTTTTTTTTTTTTAATCCTAGAAATTCATAGCTCTACTGCATCCCCCAAAATTGTTGCTCACATCTTGTTGGATGAAGCAATTTCATTTGTAGAAAATGTTGCTTGACAAGAATTCAATAAAGGGGGGAAAGTCGGTTCTCACCATCAAGTCCCCTCGAACTCCAGCTTCTTCAACAGCTTCTCTTTCTGCTGCCTCCTCAACAGTTTCATCATTCTCCCAGCCTCCCTGGAAGGAGGAAGGAACAAAATCACTAATATCATCATGATCTGCCATCTATAGTTCTATTCCATATAAATTACAAAAAAGAAGAAATGTAGATATTTTAAAACATTCTAAAGCATCAATGAGTGATACAATCACCATAAATGAAAATGTTAGGGGAAGGAGAAGACATAAGCTAACATGGAATGTGACAGTAAAAAAATATATGAATTTATTTAATTTAACTAAACATATAGCCCATAACAGAGCAAAATATGAAAAAGGATTCATGTGCCCTATTGAGCTCTGCTGAACTTAAGTCAAGAACTCCAAGAAGCAAAAACCCAGATTTACTAACTAATAGAAACATGGATCGCACAAATATATTACTGGATCATGTGTCGTGTTGGTGTACTTAAAGATGTTCATACCAAATAAAGCTAGCAGTCGGCAGAATGAAAATAAAGCCTTATTTAACTGAAATGTTAGATGCAAATAATGTTCATAAAAGGTACAATTACACATGAACAAAAAAAACACAACTCAATCAGATTAGGTGTTAATTAATGAAGTAAAATAATTAACAAATTCATACCTTTGGAAACAAAAGACCTGGTCCACTAGGCGAGTTGATCATAAGCACCTCAAGAATCCTCTCTGAGCTGGCATCACTACGTTCATCGGAATCCCTATACTTGTATGGAATGCACCTAAACAACAAGATATTGAATTATACATGGTATAAGGAAATAATTAAAAAAATTCTGAATGTTGATTACAAAATAGTAGACGTATTATTTGAACTGTCAATGCCTTGTTGAGTTTACAAAGTCATATATAACTGAACAAAATATGCTAGAAAATAAAAGACTGATATGTAATAATGGTAGTGATTGACGAACAAAACTCTTCTAAAACTATAACAAGAGATTATAGAAACCAAAAAAGAAATTCCTTGTCAAATCTGGTGAGGATCAAGCTTCCTTTGAAAAAATCTTATTCAGCAAGCAGTTGTTGTAGATTTCTTTCAATGTGAAATTAGTTAATTAGCATCATCATCTTACAGTGTCATCTTTGTGCAAAGCATTCAAAAGAATCAGATCCAAGTCAAAATTTTGATAGGAGGTCACAAAAAACCTACCAAATTCAGTGCTAAATTGCCAATAACCATATTTTTTGCTCTGTCACATTTCTCAACACAATGGCATGGCATACATTCAGAGAAACATGTCCTCCAAGATGTATATAGGCCTGAATTTTCTTCCCCTCCCTAATCACACTATTGAACCCACCAACACACCATCTCTACCCCCATCCCCCACCAATCCCTTAGGATACATGTTTGGATTTGGATTTGAGAAGGGCTTTGCAAATCCCTCTCAAATCCATCAATAGAAACTAAAGAAACCAACAATAGAACAGAGGAAAAACTATTCCCATTACACAAACAAACAAAAATAAGGCCTACCCATTAGTTATCATCACATCAAAATACAATAATAATCAATAAGAGGCCCATAAAATGTATAATATATCAATAACTATGGTCCAAATTTATGTAGATTGGTTTACCTCCAAACAACCATCAACATCAACATCACAAACAATACATTAATAAATACACATACACATACATTATGAATATATTGAAAATGGGTGATGGAGAGAGAGAGAGAGAGAGAGAGAGAGAGAGAGAATGAAAATTACCCAGAAACAAGACGACAACCGTCCTCGTAGCGCTGCTGATGCCGACCGGTGCGGGCCACCAAATCAGACATGCTGATTAATAATAATCAACAATAACAACTCTTATTTTGAATCTCTCTCTCTTTCTATGCACAATTTCGATCATCAGCCATTGAAATCACAACCACAGACATTTTAAATGTTGAAAAAAAAAAACCATTTGACTCACACTATGAAGAATTTGGGTTAACAAACAACTATTGAAATCATCTGCATTGATGTACTCTCTCTATTCGCCATTGTCGTCAAGCACACGCACATGCACATTGAAAAAAAATGCTCTTGCTACTATTGTTGTGCCGTTAACGAAACGAGAGGGGAAGAGAGAAGAGAGAGAGAGAGATTTGATTTTTAGAGAGAGAGCGAGAGAAACGGATCGGTAGTGGGGGTGGTCAAAGTCTCACGTGGGTGAGGGTCAATAAATGGGCCCGCTTCGGAAGAAGTCAACCCAACTATTGGGCCGAAGATGAAGGGGCCCCATCCCCATATTCACAACCCGGCAATTGTTACATAAATAAGGGGTGATTTAGGAAGATGATTAAAAGTTAGTGGTGGTTTCAGATATTTTAGATAAGCGTATTTTTTTAATTTTTATAAAAAAATATGTAAAAAAAGTAAAGAAAGTAAATATATTAATTGATGTGACCTAAATAAGTGTATGCTTGTAAAAAAATATACTTTTTTAGTACATGTCAAATACTTACTTAATTTTTTGATTTTTTTGACTTTTTGACCTTTTTTTTTAGAGATAAAGTTTGTTAGGAAGTGACTTTTAACATACTTTCTAAAATACCCCTAAATATATGATATGAAAAAATAAAATAAACATAAATTAGTAACAAAAAAACATAGGGTTTTAGGTCTATAAAAAAATAAAAAAATAAAAATAAAAATAAAATAAAAAATTAGAGCATGGCTACTTTATTGAATTTGGGCTCATTGAATTGTTTGTATTTGTACACGTGGTCGTCCGGCTGATCATTTGAACGAATGTCGGTTGACACACTAGTAGAAAGTGGCTTAAAAATTGGAAAATAACTTTTAACCCACTTTCTAAAATACCCCTAAATATATAATATGAAAAAATAAAATAAATATAAATTAGTAACAAAAAAACATAGGGTTTGAGTTCTATAAAAATTAAATAAAATTAGAGCATTGCTACTTTCATTAAATTTGGACTCACCGAATTGTTTGTATTTGTACATGTCAGTTGTCTGACGGGCCATTCGAACGAATATTGGTTAACACACCAGTAGACAGTGGCAGATTTAAGAAATTAAATCAGAGGGTGCACTTATTAATTATAATATTAAAAATTTTTACAAAAATATTTCACATAATTTTTACAATTGACTTCAAAAAAAATATAAAAAAATAATATTATTTGCAACTAATATATCTTGGACAATATAAAAAAAAAAGAGAGTCATGGATATAAGTTTTAAAATATATTATATAATGATAAAATAATTTTTTATTCAAAATATGAGTAAAAATTCAATATAATAATAATACCACGTTATTATTGACATGTGACATCACCAACCAATAATAAAAAAACACATGGAGGATAGGGCCCTGGTTAGTCACTTTTCTTGGCCGAGATCGTTAAGTGGAAGTCAAAAAAAAAAAAAAAAAACCTTACATGTCAAATGTAATTAACAATCCAATAAATTTCATATCTTTATCGAGATTAATTATATTTGCATGTCAATAATGATAGACATCACCATTATACTAAAATTTTCATATGACTTATCAAGTCTCTTTATTTTTCAATCAAAACAACTATTATTGTTTTTATAATTTTAAAATGTCATTGATATTTCACTATAAATAATACTTTTATAAAAAATTTTATTTAAAATATTTTCTTTATGTTTGTTGTAAAAAAAAAAAAAAAAAAAATTCATTCAAAACCCAATGGGGCACGTGATCCCCCTAGACCCTCTTTATTTTCACCCTTGCCAATAAATAAAGTGGCAGTCGCGATTGACAAGGGTGATGCCGTTCATCCTATCATTTATCTGGCCGGATGTCCGACTTATGTAATTTGGGCGAGTTCAAATTCGGTTGATCAATCATTTTTCAAAAAAAATAAGCTCTAAATTTTTTATTTTATGAATTTAAATTCTAATGTTTTGATTTATTTTCAATATAAACTATTCGTCTATTTTTGTTAAGTGAAATTGACAAAAAAAATTATTATTTTAGTCATTAAACTAACATGTTTTAGACATTTTATGTATATCTATATTGAATTTAATGATTAAAATATTTATTTTTTTTATTGATTTTACTTATTAATAAAAATAGACAAATAGATTAAATTGTGAAGCAATCAAAATTTTAAAATAAGTTTAACTTCTCAAAAATTGTTGCGTCATGCTATCAAGCTAGTTTATTTTGTTAGGTCATGCTATCAGGTGATAAGGAGTAATAAATAATACTTATTAATTTCATTTAATGTTTCTTGAAATTTGTCCAATTTTGTAATAGAAAAACAAAAATACTAAGAGATTTTTAAAATTTTATCAAAATTTTTACTAAATATTTGATATAGATGTGGAACTCATATGAGATCCAAATGGTATGAGTCTTACACCAATGTGAAACATTTGATAAAAATTTTGATAAATTTTTTGGGGTTTTTAGCATTGCTCATGAGTTATGCTAGAGATCCCAAATGATCTACCAAACCTCTCACATGGGTGTAGGACCCACACACATGTGGATTTGTGTAAATCACACAATATGTGAGAGGTTTGGTAGAAAATTTGATAAATTATTTGGAATCCATAGCATTTTCCCATTACTCATAGAAAAATACTTGAGGCAGCTAATTTATCACTCTTAAAAATCAACTCCAATGATGTATTTGACAAGTGTCAAATTTTGATTTGTCAAATATTTTATCATGTGGAGTTTATTCTTAATGCCACATCATTAAGGGTGGTTTAGAGATGGTAAATTAAGGGATGCAACATTGTTATTTTAAATAGGGTTGGGTTTTTCTTATATTAGGATCTTAACATGAGAGAACTTGAGAGATCTGTGGAGCCCACCATAGATTTCATTTTGATAATTCGAACCGTTCAATTTTTAAAACTCTTTGAGTAGAATATTTATATAAAAAATAAGATGGTCAGACATTGGTAGTTATATGTTTGAATTAAATTTATATTACAAAAAATGGATGGTTATTTTTCAAATTATATTTGTTGTCTATTTATTTTAAAATGAATATGATTCAAATATATAACTACCAATATCTAATCATTTTATTTTTTGCATAAATATTGTATTCAATGAGTCTAAAAAAATGAACGGATAATCGGAATTGATTTCAAAATGGGTCTATCAAGTCCAAACGCTCTCTCAAGTTGAGATCCTAACTTGAGAGAAGCCAAACCCTTTTAAATAATGGCCCTATTTGGTAGAACTGTGGAAAAGTGATTATAGATTATAGTTTAACAGATTATGGCTTATAGCTGTGAATATAAGCTGTTAACTTGTTTGGTGCAGCCGTGAGATTATGGATTTAAGCAGCAGAGTAGTGTTTGGTTAATAAGCTGTAAAATAACTTTTTGGGAGCTTTTTTGATAAATCCATTTTCTAAGAGTTTTATTCCATCCAACCCATATTCTTTTTTACTATTCCATTAGGTCCAATTTGAGATAAGAAGACCAAAATACCTTTTTCATCTACTTATGTTCCATTTAGTTCACATTATTTTCTTATATTTCAATAAGTCCTATGGGTGACATAATTACCAAAATACCCTTAATGTGAATGTTTACACCGTCAATATAAAATGTTTATATCGTCAATGTGCAGGGGCCCGGCTCATGTCGATCCTCGTGGGTGCCCGAAAAAATTCGAGTCGGGCCGGGCCGGCCCACAAGCCAAAAAATAGGCCCGACCCGGCCCGTTGATAATATGAATATTCATATTAACAAGTTAACATTCATATTAATAGGAGTGTAAAATTGACCTGCGGCCCGTGGGCGGCCCGAAACCAGCCCATCGCCCAGGGCGGGCCCGGGCCGGCCCGTTCACAATATGAATATTCACATTGACATATTAACATTAATATTAACATTGACAAGAGTGTAAAATTGGCCCATGACCCGTGGGCAGCCCGAAGCCCGGGCCCGGCCCAGCCCGGCCCGTTGACAATGTGAATATTCACATTGACATGTTAACATTCACATTGATAAGAGTATAAAATTAGCCCGCGTCCCATGGCTGCCCGAAACTAGGCCACGGCCCGTGGGCGGCCCGGGGCGGGCTCGACCTGGCCTGTTGACAATGTGAATATTCACATTGACATATTAACATTCACATTGATAAGAGTGTAAAATTGACTCGCGTCCCATGGGCGGCTCGGGGCAAGCCCGATCCGGTCCGTTGACAATGTGAATATTCACATTGACATATTAACATTCACATTGATAAGAGTGTAAAATTGACTCGCGTCCCATGGGCGGCTCGGGGCAAGCCCGATCCGGTCTGTTGACAATGTGAATATTCACATTGACATATTAACATTCACATTGATAAGAGTGTAAAATTGACTCGCGTCCCATGGGCGGCCCGGGTTTGAGTCCGGGCCTACCCTAGGCCGCGGGCGAGCTTCGGGCAGCGGACAAGTTTTACACTCCTATCAATGTTAATGTTAACATGTCAATGTGAATATTCACATTGTCACGAGTCGGGCCAAGCTCGCCTCAGGCTGCGATCGGGCTTCGGGCCAAATTTACACTTCTATCAATGTGAATGTTAACATGTCAATGTGAATATTCACATTGCCAACGGGCCGAGCCCGCCCTGGCCTGAGGTCGAGCTTCGGGCTGCCCACGGGTCACGGGCCAATTGTACACTCTTATCAATGTGAATGTTAACATGTCAATGTGAATATTCACATTGTCAACAGGTCGGGCCGGGCCCGCCCCGGGCCGCCCATGGGCCATGGATGGGTTTCGGGCAGCCACGGGGTGCGGGCTAATTTTTCACTCCTATCAATGTGCATGTTAACATGTCAATGTGAATATTCACATTGTTACGGGTTGGGCCAAGCCTGTCTCGGGCTGCGGTTGGGCTTCGGGCCAATTTTACACTCTTATCAATGTGAATGTTAACATGTCAATGTGAATATTCACATTGTCAAGGGGCCGGACCGGGCCCACCCCGGGCTGCGGTCGGACTTTTGGCCATCCATGGGCTGCGGGCTAATTTTATACTCTTATCAATGTGAATGTTAACATGTCAATGTGAATATTCACATTGTCAATGGGCCGGACTGGGCCCGCCCCGGGCCGCCCATGGGCGGCTGGCGGGTTTCGCGCAGCCACGGGACGGGGGCCAAGTTTACACTCCTATTAATGTGAATGTTAACATATCAATGTGAATATTCACATTGTCAACGGGCTGGGCCGAATCGAGCCCGCCCTGGGCTGCTGTCTAGTTTTATACTCTTATCAATGTGAATGTTAACATGTTAATGTGAACATTCACATTGTCAATAGGCCGGGCCGGGCCCGCCCACGGGCCGTGGGCGGGTTTCGGGCAGCTACGAGGCGCGGGCTAATTTTACACTCCTATCAATGTGAATGTTATACTCTTATCAATATGAATGTTAACATGTCAATGTGAATATTCACATTGTCAACGGACTGGACCGGGCTCGCCCCGGCCTGCCCATGGGCCGCGGGCGGGTTTCGCACCGCCACGGGACGGGGGCCAATTTTACACTCCTACTAATGTGAATTTTAACATGTCAATGTGAATATTCACATTGTCAACGGGCCGGGCCTGCCCTGGCTCGCGGGCGGGTTTCGGGCCGCCCACGAGCCAATTTACATTCTTATAAATGTGAATTTTAAAATATGAATGTTCACATCATTAAATTGCTAATCGTTGAAAAAATATTTATAAGGGTATGAAAATTAAATATAAGGGCATAAGTGTCCAAGAAAATAGTGTAAATCAAGAAAATGGACTTTATGGAATAAAACTATACATACATGGGACTAAATGGGTTAAAAAATTCCTTCATGAACTTCTTGGGTTAAAACACTTCTAAATTGGACTTATCAATAAAAATCCCAAACTTTTTACTGTATAATTGTCCTTTCTGCCATTATATGATATAAAAATGATTATTTTGTCATTTTTTTAAGTTTTAATTTAAAAAAAATTATTTCATTAATAAAAGTTAATATAATTAGTATTAATTAGTATCAATTAATATAAAAATTGATACATTTGATAAAAATGTAATGGAAGTATTATTGTCATAAATTTTTTCCATTATAAATTAATTAGTATCAATTAATTGCTTAATTAGTATCAATTAATACTAAAATTATTAATTAGTATCCATTAATGGTTTAATTAGTATCAATTAATACTAAAATTATTAATTAGTATCAATTAATGGTTTAATTAGTCTCAATTAATACTAAAATTATTAATTAGTATAAATTAATATTAATAATTAATTTTTATTAGTATCAATTAATATTAATAATCAACAATTGTTATTAATTAGTATCAATTAATAATTAATTCATTACAAAAGTATACAAAATTAATTTATTAATAGTTAATACCAATTAATATTGATTTTTTAATTAATATTGATTTTTTTCTTTTTCTTCAGAAATATACAAATTTTTATTTTAAAATTAATATAAAAATATACAATATGAATTTATTAATAATTAATACCAATTAATATTTATTTTTTAATTAATATTGATTTTTTTATTTTTCTTCAGAAATATATAATTTTTTATTTTTTAATTAATATTAATGTTAATATTTGGGTATTGACGAGGACATTTAAGTGATTTTAGCCCCCCACACCAGCTGCGCGCTTAAGTCAAAAATTTAAGCACCCCCTGACCAGCTTTTGAGATAAACTGAGAAATAACTTAATTTAAGCTATAAGCTAGTTTACTTAAGCTGCACCAAACACAATATTGTAACTTAGATCGAGCTAAAAGCTGAAATAAGCAGCTTATAAGCTCTACCAAACAGGCCTATTATGTTAAAAATAGAAAGTTATTAAATGCATCTAATTTAATTAATTAATTGGTTAAAAATAGAGATTTACTAAATTCAAGACAATTTAATATAACATTAAATATACATTAGAGTATTTCCAACGCTTCATCAAATTTTTAAGTTTGATATGATATGATATGTTTCAATGGTCTCATCAAATTTGGATGGTTGTTTGGCCAGACATCCGGCGGGTTGCTCGGTCTAAAATAAATTTTCATTAAATTCATCTTAAAATCGGTTGTCCAGGAGAATGTCTGGGAAGAAGTCCAACCCAGCGATCACTTACAAATTTGATGAAATGATATAACTCTCTTAATTTGATAAAAAAAGTAACTCTCATTCTATTTGGAATCAGTTTGATGAAAGGGTTGGAGCTCACGTTTTAGGCATTTTTTTGGCCTAACCGGTCAACCGGCCGGTCAACCAGCCGGTCGACCACCCGGTTGTCCCGGGATAGATTTGGTGAAGGTGAACCGTTGGAGCCTGAAGTATCAAATTCAGGAAATGGCCATTTTTGAACTCAGAATTGGTGAAATTTTTGATTCACGGTTGGAGATGCTCTAACTCTCTTAATTTGATAAAAAAAGTAACTCTCATTCTATTTGGAATCAGTTTGATGAAAGGGTTGGAGCTCACGTTTTAGGCATTTTTCATCAAATTTAAATTTGATGAAAGATTGGAGATGACTTAACAAATTAAAATTAAAAAGTTACTAAATTCAAAACAATTTAATACACTATTTACTGCAACTTATCAAATGTTTCCGGAGCACTTGTTAATATTAGCATATTTTGTTATAAGAGTCAAATTTTGAATTTTTTGTTTTTTTAATTTTTCCAAAAACATATAGATCTACCAATTTTTTTTTTTTTTAGATTTTAATTTTTGTGTATATTTACTGAGACGCTTCAAATTTAACCCAAATTCATCGAGTTAAACTTGAATCTGATTTGACAAGTCAATTTGAGTTAAAATTTAAGCCAAGTTTGGCATGACCTAAATAATACAAAAACTCACTATCCTATTTAAGTTACATCATCTTATTTAAATCACATCACCTCTCTAACACATCACATCAAACCCAATCCAAACCCAACCCATATAAGTTAATAAGTCAAAAAGTGCACTTTTTTAGAACATCCCAAACCAACCCTTAAATTTTAACGGCAAGTTAAACCCAAATTAAACTTTATCCGATTTGATAAGTCAATTTGAGTTAAAATTTAAATTTTAATTGCAAGTTAAAATCAAACTTGATTTGTAAATTCTCAATGCTTTTCACAATTTTATTATGATATATACTAAAACTTTGCATTGGTTAATGAAAGAGAAGATTACAATTAGGTAAGAGATGTTATATATTCCCTACAAGAACTGTTCCAATTGAGTACCCCTAGGCTATAAATATAACACAGTTAAATTTCTCTGTCTCACATTGCCAAAAGTGTGTACATATAATATTACATACAATTTGTTCCTCCAGTTTTTCAATCTTCAATGTCTTCCAATTCTCAAGGAAGAATCAACATTATTGGCTATGGCAGAGGCTGCAAAGAGCCGCGCAATCTCCAACTGAGTATTGGCAATGATCTGAGTCCTCTGAAGGTCCATTTCTCCTCTTTTGGCTTCGGCTTCAGCTCTCATCTTCTCTATCTCCCTCATCGTCTCCATCCTCACTTCCTCTGACCTCACCAATGCTTCTGCTAACCGCCTAATAATCTTCTCTCCCACTTCCCATTCTTCTTTTCTCCTCCTTATTGTCTTCTTTTTTCCCAGTGACGATCGAGTCTTCAAATTTCTCAATTTCTCTTTATCTTTCTCTTTCGCTTCGTCGTTATAAAATGCAGCAGCAGCAGCAGCAGGGGTGGTGCTACTGTCTGTGTTCATGGAAGGAGGATCCACTCCATCTTCCTGTCATTTGAAAATCATGAATTGGTTGTAGGTTAGTGACATATGATGCCTTCTTTGGCAACTTTACTGTTTTAGTTTCAAAATCAAAAAAATCACTAAAAACCTACCAAATTACACGAAAAAACAAAAGTTAAAGATTTTATTTTTTTCTCTACTTTTTGCATGCAGATTAATTTAGTAACTTTTTAACTTTTTAGCTAATATATAATATAAAAAAAAATAGTATATTTAAGGTGACTTTTTAATTTTTTACATAAAAAAATATAAAAAATAGAAAGAAAAGAAAATCTTTTACATTTTGTATATAATTTATTAGTTTTTTTGATTTTCTTAGTAATTTTTTTGACTAAAACATAGTGCTGCCAGTGTTTTTTTTTAAACTAAACAAAGGTCACAATTTTCTATTATTATTATTTTTTTTCTTCTTCCTGTTTAGTGAGTTTGTTTTAAATTTGTGTCTGACATTTTCAATATTATACTCCACCTAGTTTAGAAAAAATTTAAAGACATACCCTCAAAATAAAATCACTAAGACTGTATTTGATTTATAAATTTAGAAAATGATTTGCAAAGAAAAAGAAAAAAAGTGTGTAAAATGTAATTATATTTCACACACAATTCACCAACCTTTTGCTTTTCTTTTTACAAATCTCTTTCCAAATTTCATGAATCAAATATAACCTAAAGGAAAAAAAATTCAAAATTTCAAGTCTGACTAGTCTAAAACGACATAAAAATTACAAATTATTTTATTTAATTTTTTTACTAAAGTAATAAATAAATAAGTAAATTACTACAAAAAAAAAAAAAATTCCCAAACTCATTCTTTTTATTTCTTTCTTCTCTCAAGTTCGTTGTAGGGACTCAATGATGCATGTCAAGCATGTCGCACACATTAAGTACACTGATAATAATTTAATTTGTTCATTTTATAAATTATTATATAAAAATCATATAATGCATGAAAACAATGAAAGCCATCTAATTATTATAATGATGTAATTTTATTACATTTGTCAAATAATATAAATGACAAGTTTTATTTTAAAAATAAGTCATTAAATTTTGTAAAAACAAATATGTGAAAATCATATAGCTAAAATTATTGAATGAATTTAATGTTTGTAATAAATAATATAAATTAAAAAACTTGCAAAAAGAAATTATTGAGATTCGCAAAATGAGACCCATGTCCCAAATTGACAACAATTACTTATTTTTATTTTTAACAATTTTTTTTTAAAATTTTGAGTTACAAACTTTTATCCCCAAATAATAATAGGATGAAACATGCATTAATCTTTACATTGACAGTATGAATGTTTTATGATGTGAATGTGAATGTCAATATAAACATTCACATTGTTAAAATAAACATTCAGACTATTAAATTTATTTAATATAAATGTTTACATCACCAAGTTGTTAAATGGTTCAAAAAATATTTATAAAAATAAAATTATTCATAAAATTTAATAATTAAAATTTGATAGATCAAATATGTAAAATAATATAACTTATCAAAATACAAAAATAACTTATAGATTAATTGGATACTAATCCTTGAAAAGAGATTTTAATAAATCCCTTTTCTAAAAATTTGAAAAGAAATTCACCTCACATACAAATCAATTTTTTTTAGATTTTTTTTTTTCTTCAAAGAATTAATTACATTTTTCATCCTGTAATTTTATCCAAATTTTACTTTAGCCATTATATTTTCAATTTGAACAATTTACTCTCTACACTTAAATCTAATTTCAATTTAATTATTCCATTTAAATTTGTTTAAATTTTTATTAATTTTATCTATGTATGGCTTCGTTCTAAAAATGAGTTAACTTTTTAAATTTTTAATTATTTTAATCTGAGGCTAAAAATCTTATTTAGATGATTTTCTTTAATTTTTTAAATTTTTATGAGAAAAAAAAAATTTATTGTTTGAAGGTCATAGTCTGTCTTATTAATTTTTTAACTTATTTTATCTTTTTATGAATATTTTAACTAAAAAAAAAATTCTAACCCAACATGTCAAATGAAGGCTATATATTTTAAAAAATTGACAAATGCACTAAAATTATTAATTTTAATAGAATAAATAAATTGAAAGCATTAAAATTAAAATTATACTTTGGACAAACCTTTGCCCGACGATCAACACCATTGGAAGCATCCGAGTTTTCTGCAATTCCAACAGGACAAGGAGCCGGAGGCGATGGCTGCGACGGTTTTGGTGGCGGAGGCAGTGGTGGTGGTGGCGGTGGCGGTGGCAGCGATTGCTCCAATAGCATTAAAGGAGGGTTGCGGAGTGGTGGTGGTGGTGGCGGCGGCGGCGGCGGAGGCACAGCATGTGGTGGTGGAGGAGCACCACTAGTACTACTTCCACGCAGTAATAGATCGAGCCTAGGGAAGAGTGGCCACGACGAACCATCGGCGGCTGCGGCGGAGGAGGACTCCGATCGGTAGCGCTTCTTCATGGACTCGATCTTGTTCTTGCACTGCGTCTGAGTCTTGGGAGATTTGGTGGAATTGGATCGAGAAGACACGTGTTTGGCAACATCTTCCCAGTCTTGGCCCTTGAGCTTTGCTCTGTTTCTGAGTGTCCATTTGGCTTCATAGGCTTCGATCAGACTCGAAACTGCTCCTTCACTCCATTCATCTCTTTTTAACCTATCTCCTCCTCCTCCGCCGCCGTTGCTAGATCGAACAGGTGGTGGTGGTGGTGGTGTGGTTTTGGAGAGGTGGAGAGATCGGTTATGGTGGTGGTGGTTGGGTTGGGGTGGTGGTGGTGGTGGCTTATCATCCATCTCTCTTCTTCCCCATTCTATAAAATTAACCTTTTAGGTTTGTTTAGCTGCTAACATGTACATGAGACCTCATCAAGAAGTTAAAAAGAAAATGGTTACTAAACCAAAAGCATAGCGAGAGAGAGAGAGTACCAAAAAGCCAGTGCTAGTTAGTGGCCACGTAGAGGAGAAAGCATTTTGGGGAGAAAGGCTGGTCTTAGTGGGCAACTAACTAGAGGAGAGAGAGTAACCCCAACCATTAGAGAGATGTTAAAAAAAGGTAAATTACATTTTCATTCTTTAATTTTATTTTGAATTTCACTTAATATTTTAATTTATGATTTTTTTAATTATGATAATTAAGTCTCCATACTTCAATTATTATATCGATGTAGTCATTTTGTCACTTATTGGAGAGGAAAAAAAATAGATCACATTATAGCCGAATATGCAATTTTAAGAGCACTAAAAGAAAAAAAATATAAAAAATTAATGTTGTGTTTAGATTATAAATTTGAATTTTTTTTTTATATTTTATTCACTTTGAGATTTGAAAAAACAAAGAAGAGAAGAGAAATAGAGAAAAAATTAGTTGATATTTTATTAACATTATCTACACTTTAAAAAAAAAAAAAAATTCTTATCCAAACTTGTGATTCAAACATTGCCTAAAAAGACTTAATATTATAATTTTGAATCAAATTTTAAGAATTTAATTGTTACAATTAAAAAAGGAGAGATTAAAATAAAATTCAAGTATAAATTGGAGAAGGAGAAGTTTTATTTAGGGATTGACTTCTCTCTAGTTCCAAATCGGGCTGGAGAGGTACTGTTGGGTTCATTAGGTCTTTTTTTGGATCCTATTTTGATAGTTTGAACCGTTCATATTTTAAAATTCGTCAAATACATCATCTCTACAAAAAATTAAGTCGATCGGATAACAGTAACCACGTGTTCGAATAAGTTTTATATGGAAAAAATGACGGTGAGAAAATAAATTGTTCATGTAAAATTTATTTGAACACGTAGTTTTCGTTATCCGATCGACTTCATTTTTAGCAAAGATGATGTACTTAACGAATTCTAAAATGTGAACGGTTCAGATTTTCAAAATGAGGCAAAAAAAAAGGGCCCACTAGACCAGACTAGACGGTCTAATCCAATAAGGACTGGAGACAATCCAGTCCCTTTTATTTACCTCCGAAAAATGTACACGAACATACTGGCTTCATCCATTATATCTAATAAAATAAATTTAAGCAATTGATATAGCCACATTAAATCATAACTAACACTAATTAGACTTGCAATCAAAAAATTACTTTAATCATAACCAAAATACAAATGGGGGCGATCGCAATAGATTATAACAAATATTATTTTAGAACAAAATCAACTATCATAAGTTCTTTTATTTGGGTGGAATTTTACAAAATCAAATACAATTCTTTCCAACGGGATGGTAGGATTCGAAGAAATGGTAGGAGAAGATTGTATCCAATTTTATGACTGAATTAGAGGGTTACTACCCCTACCTTATTTCTTTGAACCCTTACCTACTTAATTAAGTGCATCATATTTTCTCTTTGAACTCCCACTTTAATCCCAATTATATCCATCTTCTTTGAACCTCCCAAAACCCTAACCCTCAACCACTATAGCTCCGGCAGTGCATTCCAACGACTCTCCTCAGCTCATTCTCGCCTCCATTTGCCACCGCCCATCCCTCCTCAACCTCCCCTTGACCCTCGTCCACCTCCCCGCCACCCATTATCCCATTCTCACCCACTACCGCCATAGCCCAGCCCCATCTAGATATGCTCTCTTGGCTTCATAGGCTTCGATCAGACTCGAAACTGCTCCTTCACTCCATTCATCTCTTTTTAACCTATCTCCTCCTCCTCCGCCGCCGTTGCTAGATCGAACAGGTGGTGGTGGTGGTGGTGTGGTTTTGGAGAGGTGGAGAGATCGGTTATGGTGGTGGTGGTTGGGTTGGGGTGGTGGTGGTGGTGGTTTATCATCCATCTCTCTTCTTCCCCATTCTAAAAAATTAACCTTTTAGGTTTGTTTAGCTGCTAACATGTACATGAGACCTCATCAACAAGTTAAAAAGAAAATGGTTACTAAACCAAAAGCATAGCGAGAGAGAGAGAGTACCAAAAAGCCAGTGCTAGTTAGTGGCCACGTAGAGGAGAAAGCATTTTGGGGAGAAAGGCTGGTCTTAGTGGGCAACTAACTAGAGGAGAGAGAGTAACCCCAACCATTAGAGAGATGTTAAAAAAAGGTAAATTACATTTTCATTCTTTAATTTTATTTTGAATTTCACTTAATATTTTAATTTATGATTTTTTTAATTATGATAATTAAGTCTCCATACTTCAATTATTATATCGATGTAGTCATTTTGTCACTTATTGGAGAGGAAAAAAAATAGATCACATTATAGCCGAATATGCAATTTTAAGAGCACTAAAAGAAAAAAAATATAAAAAATTAATGTTGTGTTTAGATTATAAATTTGAATTTTTTTTTTATATTTTATTCACTTTGAGATTTGAAAAAACAAAGAAGAGAAGAGAAATAGAGAAAAAATTAGTTGATATTTTATTAACATTATCTACACTTTAAAAAAAAAAAAAAATTCTTATCCAAACTTGTGATTCAAACATTGCCTAAAAAGACTTAATATTATAATTTTGAATCAAATTTTAAGAATTTAATTGTTACAATTAAAAAAGGAGAGATTAAAATAAAATTCAAGTATAAATTGGAGAAGGAGAAGTTTTATTTAGGGATTGACTTCTCTCTAGTTCCAAATCGGGCTGGAGAGGTACTGTTGGGTTCATTAGGTCTTTTTTTGGATCCTATTTTGATAGTTTGAACCGTTCATATTTTAAAATTCGTCAAATACATCATCTCTACAAAAAATTAAGTCGATCGGATAACAGTAACCACGTGTTCGAATAAGTTTTATATGGAAAAAATGACGGTGAGAAAATAAATTGTTCATGTAAAATTTATTTGAACACGTAGTTTTCGTTATCCGATCGACTTCATTTTTAGCAAAGATGATGTACTTAACGAATTCTAAAATGTGAACGGTTCAGATTTTCAAAATGAGGCAAAAAAAAAGGGCCCACTAGACCAGACTAGACGGTCTAATCCAATAAGGACTGGAGACAATCCAGTCCCTTTTATTTACCTCCGAAAAATGTACATGAAGATACTGGTTTCATCCATTATATCTAATAAAATAAATTTAAGCAATTGATATAGCCACATTAAATCATAACTAACACTAATTAGACTTGCAATCAAAAAATTACTTTAATCATAACCAAAATACAAATGGGGGCGATCGCAATAGATTAAATATTATTTTAGAACAAAATCAACTATCATAAGTTCTTTTATTTGGGTAGAATTTTACAAAATCAAATACAATTCTTTCCAACGGGATGGTAGGATTCGAAGAAATGGTAGGAGAAGATTGTATCCAATTTTACGACTGAATTAGAGGGTTACTATTTACCCCTACCTTATTTCTTTAAACCCCTACCTACTTTATTAAGTGCCTCATATTTTCTCTTTGAACTCCCACTTTAATCCCAATTATATCCATCTTCTTTGAACCTCCCAAAACCCTAACCCTCAACCACTATAGCTCCGACAGTGCATTCCAACAACTCTCCTCAGCTCATTCTCGCCTCCATTCACCACTGCCCATCCCTCCTCGAGCTCCTCTTGACCCTCGTCCACCTCCCCGCCACCCATTATCCCATTCTCACCCACTACCGCCATAGCCCAGCCCCATCTAGATATGCTCTCTCCCTCTCTCTCTAACCTTTCTTCTAGCGATCTTTCGACTTTCATCTCGTCGGCAGCGCGATCAACTTCTGACTTTGCCAGAATCGCGGCCCTTGTTCAAAGTTCGAAGCCTTCTAATTCTCACGAAGCTCTTATCTCTCTCTGGTTGAGTTTTAGTTACGAAGCTCCTCTCTTTCTCTCTCGGTGGCTGAGTCATGAAGCTCCTTTCTCTCTTTCCCCTTAATACGACCCTTGCAAACTCATACCTCTCATTCTCCTTCTTCTTTTTCTTCTTCTTTGCATGGATTACGGCGGCAATGGCAACGGTGGCTAGGAAGAGTGACGAAAACGTACCTTAGATCTAGGGTTTGCAGGAGTTTTGTAGCAACGACGAAGCAGAAGGTGGCTCGTAGCGGGGTTAGGGGGTGACGATGATGGTTGATGGTGACGACGGTGCTGCAATAATGGAGAATGAGGTGTTGCGATGATAGTGAGGAGGTTGTCGGCTGGAGTGGAGGTGGATGTGGGTTTAGGGTTAGGGTTAGGGTTAGAAGAATAGAGATGGGGTTAAAAATGGAAATTGACGTTAGAGAAAAATTGTAATAAAAATTAATAAAAGATGTGGGAGTTCAAAAAAAAAAAAAGTAGAGACATTTAGCAGCCTTCTTGAATTATCGTACATAAGATGACACTAGGATAGTGGGGGAAGAAAGGCAAATGTTAGTGGGTAACTAACTAGCCAGAGGACAAAGCGATGGCAGCTAGAAGCATTAAGGAGAGATGCTAAAATAAAGAAAGAAAAAAGAAGCTCTACTAAAATAATATGCATACCATATGCTGTAGCACCTTAAAATATTTAATTAGCACCGTATAAAACAAAAAGAGAAAAGAATATTTAATTTATAATTATGTGTGCTAAAATGTAATTTAATTTAAATTAAGAATAATTATACTTCAAAATGATGATAATATAATATTATCTGGGCCAAAGTGTATTGGGTGTTGACCACTCTGAATCAAACAATTATTATTATATATTATCATATCATAATAATAATGAAAGAGGAAAGAAAAAGGGAAAGAAAGGAAAGAAAGAAAAGAAACGAAAAAGGAAGAGAAAGGAATGCAGAAACGTAGTGGAATGGAAAAATGTGGTGCACCCTCGTGGTAAGCCATGAGGTGTGGAGAACTCATCTATAAATAGGTGAGTTCGAATTGAATAAAGGCAGAGAAAACATAATGGACGAGAGGTTTGGAAGAGGGTGAGTCGGGGAACAAAAGTAAAGTTAGCGATTAATATTAAGATGAGTTAGTAAATTATGTTTTGTAACTTATATTAGTTTAAGGTGAGTTTTATTATATTTTGAGTTACCATAAACTATCTCATGTAAATTATGTTTTACAAATTATATTGACTTTTAAGTATGTAATTTGTTATATGAACACTATTTGCTTACAAAGGGAAATCCACGAATAAAACTGTTTATTAAATAGGTTTTTGAATAATTATTTTGTAAGTACCACCACGGGGTCCCATGCCTTGGGGGATTTTAATATCCATTGACTCTCTGATATATCACTTTATGTGATCCTTTATTCTGTTTTGTTGTCAC